CTAGCTCAGTATTTCACGTTCATGTTTAAATTTCACACGCAGGCAATTTATTCTCGAGGAATAAAGTATTAATTCAAAAATTTACATAATTTTTATTCATTATTTTTCCATTATTTAAAGTACAATATCTAACGTTATTTACGAAATATTTATTTTTAGCAATATTTGTTTTCATTAATCTAGTGAATTAGTATTATTTTATGTTATTCCTTACAATGTAGTTATGAATTATTTTCAGTATTGCATATTTACCTATCGTTCTCGTATTACCTAAGGAACAGATCAAGATACTTCGATTTGGTTTCATATTTGCATTATTTATAGTATGTTTGTAATTTTAATATTTTGTATGTAGGCATGTATTGTGTGGTTGAGATTATGACTGTGTGTGGCTTTATTACGGTTATGCGATTTCTTTAATTTTTTGTTGTCGTACAGTTTTTTTTGTAATAAAAACTGATTCAGATGGAGACTTTGATGATTCTAAAAACAACAAGTCGTACTATTAGTGAAAAGTAATCAGCTATTTAACTTTGAAATAAAACGAAAACTGCAACTAACTAACTGCATTACAGGTTTTGATTATTATCAAAATTTTAACATAAACGAGATCCTTATGCCGTGTGTGGACTTGGTAATCACATTAGAATATAATAAACAAAAGGGAACATAAATGTATAAGAAATTATACAAATGCTTTACAAATGTCTAGAAATAGAATTTTAAAGAACTTGGGCATATTAGTGTGGATATTAAATTGCTTAAAGCCCACAAACTTTACGGAAATACTTCTATTTAAATGTGTGTGTCAATAGTGATGATAACAACAATTGCTCGAATAAAAAAATTTCTTGAAATTACCTAGGGGAAAGAGACTATTTGGAAATGCAAATTAGTTTTTCAAACAGTTTGTTAAGCAATTTCTTGTCTTTTCATTAAATCCGCAAAGCAGTTTATGCTTTGATGAATGATTTTTTTCTAAATAGTGTGGAAATGCTAGCAAAAGTTTGGAGAAATTATTTAACATATTTCTTCCTGTTTCTTTTATCATAAATTATAAGTTAAATTGTTAAATTAAGACCATACCTCCCAAGATCAGGGTTTGCCTCCTCTAACCAACAACAAACGCGTTTATCCACGACAGACAATGCCAAATGTACGAGCATAGCAATGTCGATCAAAAGTTTTTTAAAGCTATTAGCAGTTCACACCTTGTACATAGGTCTCACATTTCTTTCATTAAGTCGGACATCAGAATTCCATTGCCTTCGATTCAAGCGAATGTTAATGAAAATTGCAAACAAATACAACAATAAATAGTATATATATATATATGTATATATATATAAATAGATAAAGTAGTGCTTTTATCCTTTCAAATGTTGTGAGGAGGGTGCATTGTCGCATATATATTATATATATATCACGAAAGGATACATTTTTAAGGATAATTACTTAGCAATATTCATCGTAAAAAATTAGTTTTATAGACATTGATAAATGAAACCCTTACACCCACTGTAAATTGCAGGTAGAACCTACTATTTGTAATCTCGCTTTTGAACCTCTGCCAATACAAATGTTAACGATGAATATATACCATATACATATGTACATATGTATATTTTGGAACTTCCGGAACATTTTAGTCTAAGAAATGTTGTTAAAAAGTAAACTGTGTGCTGGGGACGTAATTTTTAATGTCATAAAGTGGAGATGGAAAGTCAAATGTTAAAAATAACCAAAATACTATTATTTAAAGTAACTAAAATTATTGAAGATATTTTTAAATTACACTTCATATGAGAACTAAAAATACTGTACAGATGGATGCTGCCACCTTTTTATTATGTTTAATGTTATACATGGCTTTGTTAGTTTTCTGTTTATCTGTTTCTACTCTTTGGGAATTCATAATTTATTTGTGCGCTATTTCGTCCACCGTATTTTGAATTTGTAATTTTATTTAAATATATATTCTTTTGTATATGCCTATTATGTTAATACATTTATCTTATTTTTAGGTAAATTTTTACATTTTTCGATTTCGCGATTATTTACAAAATATTATGAATCAGATATTCCCACACTAACTACGTATGTTCGAGATTTTGGAATTTTATTAAATTAAGTTTTACTTTCGACCAGTATCGTTTGATGTGTTATTGCAGACTTCGAAACAAATATGGTATGTTTGTTCGTGTTGAGGTGTGCATGTGCAACGGCACAGTGTTGACGGGCGTATGTATAGGTGTATGTGTGGATGTGTGGATGTGTGATAGTGCAAGCGATTTTGCTGACTACACTTGTGGAGAAAATAATGGACTTCAAGCCTTCGCCTACATTCAGTCTTAAATGGAATGCTAAAGAATTGTGGTTGACACATGTTTTCATTGATCTTTATATATGCTCTCATTGGCATCAGCAGATTTTAATTTAAAACAATAAATTAATTTAAACAATAAAATATCGTCAAAACTATAAAAATTTTCTCAAAATCTCCACCTTGGTGCTACTTGCGTTTCACATTTCTCTCAATTCCAAACAATAAATTTAGACATCAAAGAAAAAATTAAAGCGCTTTTTTCTATAGCTAAAAACTTGTGGACCACAATCCTTAATCATTTATTTATTTCGAATATTTGAACGAATGAAACCCATTGAGGCATTCGAAAACTAATTAAAATCTTGTTGGTTGATTGTGAAGGCATGAACTCGTGGTAGTACTCGACACATTGTTGGCCAGTATGCGGCTGCTACATTCGTGGCTCCTCAAATGCCTGATTACGTCGCCTTGGTTGGGTATTTATGAGATCTTTAGTTCAAATGCCACCATAAAAATATTCTTCCCACAGTTATTATGTATCCAATGGCAATATTATATACATATATACATATCTGTGTATTTCTATCACAGTGCGCACGTAATCGTTTCTTACTTCGAAAATGCTTCGATCATGTCATTTCTCGAGACTAAAGACGAAGTTTCGGCCATTCGTTATCAATGCTATTAACAGAGTGCTTGAGTGTCCTCGTTCTGGTCAGAATCTAGTGTTATATGGAGAAAATGCATTGGTGTCGTGTTATGTAGCCGTTTTCGTGGGTGGTATATTTCCCGTAATGTGTGTGTGTGTGTGTGTGTGTGTCTATAATTTGCCTGCTTTTCTGTATTCAGACTTCAAGTTTTACATTTTTTCTCATTAAATGCATTTTAAAAACTTGCTACTCTAAACTTTGCTTGGCTTCAGTGTAAAAATCTATTAATATTTTTCATAATTTTTATTTGCTTCGTGCATGGTTACATAAGTGAATGTATGTATGTATGTATGGTATAAGTATATGTAAGTATGCTTTGTGTATTTTCTCTTTTTAGAATGTGTGTTAAAATTACAATATATTGCATTTCTACAAGTTCACTTTATGCTATGGTGATTTTGGCTATCTACGGTATATATGTGTATATTATTATGGGTACACAAGTATGTATGTGCGAATATAGTACCTCCAAATATTCAAATGAAAAATATACAGTAATTAAAATTTGCTATTCCCTACCATTCCCCCATTCGCTATACAAATCCTAAAGGTGTTTTAGGCAAATTAGACTATTTTTTACGCTTTTGGCCCCATTTCCCTTTGCCATTTAATAATTTGGAGTTTATGTGTATGTGTGTTTAGCTGTGTATGTGTGTTTTATTTGTATTTGTATTTGTATTTATATTTATTACAATTTTCGCTAAATCTATTGAATAAAATCATTTCGCTTCAAGCTAATCCATTTTATAATTAACACTAAAATATATGTAAACGACGAAAGAAGTCTTTTCTGTCTTACTTCAATGTGTATGCAAATGTGTATGAATAAATGCTTGATGTATGATAATGTACTATGTCCACATTTGTTATTTAAAGCTACCAACAGAGTTTAATGCATGGTCAAAAGTCTCTTAACAAATTTTCAAACAAATGTGTATGTATTTATGTATAATACAATTAACAATTTCCTAGTATATATCTATGTATGTGTGTGCATGCATTTGTGTGCAGTAGTTGCAGTAATGCTTTGGACCAAACTTCAACAGAAACAAGGCAGTACCTATGCATCCAAATATGCATATTTATTTATACATACACACATAACTATATATATATACAGTAGTGTATAAATTATGTTTATGCATATGCTGAAATATTTTGCTATGAAATAGAGGAAATAAATATTTTCAAATGATATATACGCCTAACTTGAGAGAATCGGCTTTTTGGTGATTTAAATATCTGAATATTTGGTATGTGTGTGTATGGCAATGTTTAACGTATTATGTACTCTGTACACATGTCTGTATGCAATCATATAATTCATCAGCTAACTGCTATTGTAGTCACAATCTATTTTAATGTCTATATTACCGTACTGGCTGTAGCTGAATATTTTATTTATGTAAGTATGTGTATATATGTATTTGTCGGCTTCTACAACGTATGATACACATGTTGTTCGGGTTGTGTTGTTGCTGTCGTCGTGGGCTGCTGTTGCAAGTACCTGGTTAACGGCGTGTGTGGTTCACTGACTGCATACTGCGTATGCTGTTGATTTGGTTGGAAAAGCTCGTGATCAGAATATATTCGCGTGGTAGCTATATCACATTCTGGTGCCGTTTCTGAATGTGGCAGAACCAAAGAAAACTGTCTGTAGGCGGAGCTTAGACGGCTGTGCTCGGCCTGATCCACATCTAAGCCACAAATTGCGGGTTCTGTTGCGGCTCTGGCACCCATTCGTAAAAGTGTAGCAGCATCCGGTTCGGTGTCATCATTAAAGTTAACAACAGCAGCTGTGGCAGTATTAATGAATGTGGTTTCTAATATATCGGTATCGGATGCAGCTGCGAAGTGTTGCAACGGTATTGTATCAAAATTATGGTCTAAATCCGGTGCAGAAAGTGATGGAAATATGGCTTGATGCTATACCCAGATCTGTTCCCTTCGATTACGCAATCGCAATCAAAGCCTTTGCTAGCACCAGTCCTCCTCGTCCGAATCCGAATGTCGGGCGTGTAAGCCACCTTTTGGCTTATAGCCATTTAGAACGGGTGAAGGCAGTACACGACCCGTTCTGCCCATAGCGAGCGCTTGTTCAAACGACAGCGGCGCTATATATTCCAGTCTAAAAAAAAAATGTTTACACATTATTGAAGCATTAATATGACTGTTATGAAATAAAGGAAGAATAATGCACGCTTAAGGCTTTAACAAAAACTATTTGGAGCAAAAACACAATACTCGAAAAAGTACAAATCCGCTGGCATGTAAGATGCAGAGCAAAATTAAGCGTATTCGGAACGTCTGTACGGAATCGATTTAAATGTTGGTAATCGAATTCCGTTTGCGCATTGGCAACAGGAAATACTGCAGTCGTTAGAACGATGGGCTGTCCGAGATATACAGCGAGATTGAAGAGCCAGCGGCTCTTTGAACCTAATGCATTTCGTATATATGCTTCATAGTTTTTTCTTTCAGCACTGTTGATATGGCGCAGAAATTTATGCAATGATCGCATCTATAATCGTCGAATATATTAACTTGTCAAAAAAGTCTTGCGGTATTTTCGCTAGTTGGCGCTGAGAGCGCGTAGTTCTAGTTTTATTCGTCGCATGGGGTCATGCTATATCTTTTTGGAAAGCTCATTTCACGCGCTAACACGTGTTTGATTGATTGTCGTTTCTTTTAAGTYGTTCKAGCGTTATAGCGTCGTAAACATTGAGCAAAATAAAGAGAAAATACGGCATATTTTACAGTACTACTACGATAAAGGCAAAAATGCATCTCAAGCCGCCAATAAAATTTGTGCAGTTTATGGACCCGATACAGTTTCCATTTCCACCGTACCACAATGGTTTGAACGTTTTCATTCGGTTGTAGAGGTGGTCGAAGATGCGCCACGCTCCGGAAGGCCTGTTGTCGAAAATTGCGATAAAATTGGTCGAAAGAGACCGGCATAGTGGCAGTCGTAGCATCGGTCAAGAGATGTCCATGAGTCATCAAAAAAAAATGTTATGAACAATTGAAAATTCAATAAAAATACCGCAAGACTTTTTTGACAACCAATATTTTAAAGCATGGTCACAATATGGTCGGCCACCGATGTGTGAGTTACGAAAGTTTTATCGCGACGAGTGCTCATAAATACAGAAAAAATATTTAGCCGCTTTACTTGAAACGCTTTACTATATTATTTTCTAAAGTAGCAAGCATGTAGTTTTCTTTATATGTTCTCGTCTCCTTTGATTCGAGTCTTTTGGTAGTTACTAAGTCGCCATGGTCAGATTTGCTATCATCTTAAACTTGAAAAGGTATACAACTTTTCCATGATTTGTACTATAACTTCACACTTCACAAAATTATTAGCACTTATGTTCATTCGCATAATATACCTTAATCACTTTGCTTTGAGCTTTAAATTATTCACTAACCTTTCTCTTTCGAAATCCCTTTGACGATCACGCTCTCTCTCATAGAGTTCACGTTCATGATCCCGATACTCATACCGCATATCGTAGTCGCGAAGGTGATCTCGATATCGCTCTCGATCACGATCGCGTTCTCTACTGCTATAGAGGTCGCGGTACATCGCACGATCCCGCAGCAGATCACGGTGGTGTGGCAAAGAATGAACACTATGGGGTGTCGAGTGATGTGTCTTAAAATAGAAAAATATTAGCTATAAAATGGCAATAAAAATATGTATTATAATACATTAACATTGCATGCATAATAGAAATATTTTCTCTTCTCTCTCTATTACTAGTCTTAGTATACCCCAAGGAAAACTTAATAGTTGAGCAATTTGGAGATTTTGACCAATTTCACTTTCTTTTCACACACTTTGTTCTCATTTCGTGGCCTTTGTGCGTGTGTTTCTCATCATTTTATAGCTTATTAACAGAGCAATTTTTTTTTAATAAAATAACACTTATTGTGGCGCAACTATAGCAGTTAGACTCATGCTGCCACGACATTTTTTGTAGATAATTGTTTGTTCTGCAAAATCGTAGTATCAAATTTTTCCTCTTAAAATGTTAGTATAGAAAGGGGTTAGTTGAGCTACTTTTAATGACAAAAGAATTTGTCTAATTTCCCTCAAGTCTGCGATACATTTCTCAAATTGTGGTATTTAACGTGTATATCTTATGATAAATACTCTTAGAACTATTACGTCTTAGAACTATTACGCTTATGACTTACATGTGTCGGACTTGCGTTAAGTTTTGGAAAATTAATATTTGTTGGCTTCAGCTGTAGTGTTGATGGTTTACTTGGTGTCGGTGGTAGACGTCGACCCATGCCAGCACGTCGCGATGCCAGCGTTGGGTAACTGTACTGAACATGAGTACCACCTAATACGAAATAATTGCATTAAAATAAATTTTTATAAATAATAGCTGAAAATTTAAAGTCACATTGCTTAGAAAATAGTTGTTCATATTGGAATTAGTCGCTTGTGTCATGTAGTGTAGTTATGTTGTGTGAATAAGAACCCAAAACCATGGAATATGAAAATTACATCAAAGTGAAACATTAAGATATTTTATATTGCAGATAATTTACACAATGAACGGTAGAAAAAAATCAAAGATTTCGTTATGGTATGAATGCAAAAACCAAATGTGCAAAGGCAAGTGTTTTACCATAAAATCCGTACATGCATAAAATGTCTCCTGGTGCGCATGAAAATATCGCATGATTACAGCAACAAAATGGGAACATGAAAATGGCGGGGAAATATGAAGTTTCGTATTTATTTTTCGTTAAAAAAATGTTCTTAGTTACTAGAAGTACTGTCGGCTTCAACTTTGTAGAAAGTACGAAATTATATGGAATTTCTACTACTCAAGTGTTGAAAATAATTTTCGAACGATCTTGTAAAATCTTATTTTTTTTTGTAGATTTAGCTGGACAGTTGAGAGCAAACTATAATTCAATTATAATTCGTACCAACAAAAAAATAATAGAGAAAGCTGATGAAGTCGATACTATCTGAACAAAAACTTGTCATTGCACCGTCTGAGAGTTTGAATTACAAATTTGTATTAAAAACTCCTCTGGAATTCAGTAATTAGTTTTTTTTTAATAAAACGGTCATATAATATACGAAAACTGAGGATCGGTCGTCAATAAGTTAGCGGCAATTAATATATATTATACAACCTTTAGATTCGTTTCTAGCCCAATCGCTGATGGGCAATGAGTTCGAGCTTAAATGACATATGTATGTTTGTATGTACTGAAAATGCTTAAAATATATTTGTCAAAAATGAGGTAACATACATCAATTATTAATAATCACACTGACCACATCATTCATTCAATCATAACCATATATTTTACATACATATATTCCTATATATACAGAAAATGTTTATGAGAAAACGTTAATGGTTTTGTACACATATGTACATTTGTATGTATATGTTGTAGTTTTGCGTTAAAGTATAGGGTGGAAGTTAAGATGACATAGTATATTCTTTAATGGCTGCTGGTGTTAGAGGACGATTACAATTACATGGGACGTATGTATATCTGTAGGTACATGTTTGTGAGTGAAGAAGAATAACTGTATGTTGTGTACTTTTGTCCATATAGTATACATATATGCAATTATGTATTTAACTATGTATAGTTGGTGTTTTTAGGTGCTAGCTGTTAGTATGTATGCTATTTTATGCACGCATATGACGAGTAAAAACATGAAAGACTGTAGACAAACGCAACAGATGAGAAGATGCGATGAATGAGAGAACGGTTGTTAAATTATATTAATATGTGTAATATTTTTTTTAGTTTTAAGTCATCAATTTTCTTTGCTATTTGTTGTTTAATTGTTTTTTCAAAAATTTTGAAATAAAACATATTATGTTTTTTTTTTTTTGTTTAATTTTTGTTTTTGTACCCATATCAATCCCATAACCAAGTCTATCTCGTTCACGCATCTCCTGAAGTCGAGCGGGACTCGGCGAACGTGATCTTTGACATAGACTTGTTGTCCCATATGTGGGAAAAGGCAGTTCTGTACGCCTACTGCGCGAATAATGGCCACCATAACGAGAAGGCGAGGGCGAACGGGCCGGACTTGTCGATGCTGACCATGAACCTATACAACAACAATACACAGGGTTTTTTTTTAACAAATCTCATTTCATATCATTTACATTAAAATCATCGAAATAATAATATAAATACATTTGTTATAAATAATCAATAAATATATATGCAGAAATTACTATACATTTAAGAACTTGGATTGTAAAATATTAAGGAATTGTGTTAGCCATGAAAATAACAGTATATTTATATGTTTGAACAAAAACTCTAGAACATTAATAAATCAGGTAAGTAGAATAGTATTACATAAAAACTAGTGATGCTTGAAACTAACCACTGTATGAATGTGTTTAAGATTTCTGCACCAATCGCTTTAGTTCATTCCATTACAGAAGTTTTAGAAATTTGGAAAAATATGGTAATTACTCTAAGAAACTATATGTATGTTCCGCGCTTGTGTATTAGGTGTATGTATATTTGTGTGTGATATTTGACAATGATTTTTCGACAAAAAGCCACAGATCAGCTATGGTTCATTATATGCTCTTTTGGATGTCTCGGTATGAATTTGATGAGCAGTATATAATTTATTAGAATGTATGGCAAAGAACTTATAAATTGAATACTTCAAATAATTGATTTGGTAATTTTATTTTGAAATAAATCTTTATCAACCGTTTATAATTTCAGTAAGGTTTCGAGCGTCAGTACTTATGTATGTACCATATCTGTTACTCTAACATAACTTCGAAGGTATACAGTGACTCAATAAAGTTAACATACACCTAGTTCTATTAATCTATGACACGACTACTTGTTTTAACATGAATATATTTTGTCTTTTATATATCTATTTCAAAAGATGTATATTAACCATAATAAACAAATAATAGACACGCACATGTATCTCAACATTTTAACAAAATTATTTACTTCGAAGTGTGCTTAAATCGGCTGTTAATAACAGCAAAATCAATCTCCAACAAGATAACGCGCCAAAATACACATCGTATCTTGAACGTGGAGGGCTGTCATATTTCCCGCAATCACCAGATATTAATCCTATTCACCATATCTGGAACTTACTGAAAACGTGTATTCGAAAACATCGAATTTCATCAAAAAGAATGCCTGAAAACTGCCTTAACGACTTAATCAAAATATCTGTAAATGACACTAACTTGTGGGGAGCATGAGTCGACATCCGGGGGCATTAATTGCAACCAAACAAAGGCCAAATAAATAATAAATACATCTAAAATTATTTTAATTTGTAACAAGAAGTTCTACCGCCTTAAAGTTTTCTATTTTTATTCCAACTACTGGAAAATATATCCCGTTTCATAGGTTTTGTAGAAATTGATTGCTAAATTACGATTTTTTCGTTTAAGATTTAAAATTTCTTGAAATCGGAACAAGACTATTCATACCACCAGATGCCAAATATGTGGACACCAGTTCTTATAACTAACTTTTTATTGAAAACATCAGTCAATTTCTAAGATATATTATAGAAATTCGAAAAAAAAAAATACTTTTCTGAAAGCAAAACAAGAATAAAATCGGGGGAAAGTTGCCCTAGACCCCATATTATATTGATTATCAACGTGGAAATTTAATCAATATTTTATTATATTGCACTAAATTATTCTAAAATACAATTTTACAGCTAACCTATTTACTAACTTTTTGTCATTCTATCGAAAATTTCAATTGTATGAAATTCGAAATTTTTGGTAGTCGAAAAAGTCTTTTCGTATTTATAATCAAATTTCAACTTATTTGTATTATTTATAATGAACTTTAATGACCCAAATATGTACTATTTTGGTCGATCACTTTTTGCTATTTTTACGCTGGACACATTATAATTTCGGTGTAAACTTTTTTGGTTTTTCGGCGAAAAACTGCGACAAGTAATTTTCACAGGCTTCTCTTAAAGCCAACTTTACTACATTAAGGGAGTTCTGCATTGGTTCAGGGCTATATGGTGAATTCATCAAAACTTCCCAGCCCAGCTCTGCCAGTTTTTACTGACTCATCAAAGATTTGTTTGGTCTAGCGTTGTCCTGATGAAAGACGAAGCCCTTTCTCTTAATCAGTTCTGGCAGTTTTTTTCCGATTGCTTGCTCCAATCTCATCAGTTGCTGAGAGTAAAATGTAGAATTAATCATTGACCAGGTTGGAGCAGCTTATAGTGGCTGACTCCTTTCCAATACCACCACAAACTCGGCGTAACCTTTCGATGCGTCAATCCTGGCTTGGCGACCATTTTTTGAGTTTCACCACGCTTGACTATGATCTTTTCGCACATTATTGTCGTATTTGATCCCCTTTTCCTCTTCTGTTACCATTCGTTCAGCAATTGTTGGATTTCTTTTCATTTCAGCAAAGAATAACTTTTTTTGTTTTTTTTATTTTTTTGTTAATTGAAGCTTAAAATGTCACCTTTTTAACACTATAGGTATGCCACAATGTGATTGGTAGCATTTGAGATATACGACTGTTACAACATGTATTGACAAAATACGAAAGACTTTTTCGAACCCAATATAAGTCATTTGTTTTAGTACTTGGACTACGATCGGAATCAAGTTCAAGTTAGGATTTCTTTGGGAAAATATCTTCACGAAATTTCGCTTGGATTTTGTCCAAAGCAATTGTTAGCTCACTTTGGCATGTATAATATATGAAACCAAGTTCTTGTATAGAAACTTTTTTAATTGTGAAGGGTATTCTACATGCGGTACAAACGAAGTTAACGTATTTCTTGTTTTTATATTAAATCAATAAGTCCCAACTTTCAATTTTGTTGCCGAGTATTGTGTTTGTTCCAACAAATCATGAAAATAAATTTATATATGAATGAACATGTGTGGGAGTTCGGATTTGAAGAAATTATAAATTGCACAGGAGCTTGCTGATAGACAAATTTTTATTTTTGTTTCAAGAGTACCTAAATCGAAAATGGGTTGTGTTTGAACTGATAAATTTAGTAAGTAATATTGTTACCGTTTCATAAATATATGTAGATGAATTTCTATGTGTACTAAAATGTACCGTATATGTGGAGTAAACATTTATTTATGAATTTTCAGGTGAGTAATTTTATTTTTAAAACACTTATCATGCTTTTTCTTGTAAAAAAATTGCATCATTTGGGAGATATTCGGTTATGATAGAGTTAAACATACAATTTACAATAAAAATTAAGAAATTTCATTTTACTATTAAATATCGAAATGTACACTTGATAACATGTTTGACGTGTATAAAAATATATATTGTGACAAAAAGTACCCTAAAATTAAAATTTGAATTCCCCTCGTAAATGCTATTTCGAAAGAGTATAATTTGCTTGGTTGGTAGAACTGTCCTGAATTACTTTTCAAATTGTTTATCGTCTCTGCGTAAAATTCTCGAAATATCAAATTTTTTGTTGCATTATGGGATAGTATACATTCTCTCAAAATTTGTAATCCAAATTCAAATTATTACGGTCGCAACAGAGTTTCTTCTAAAATAGGGAACAGAGTGGGCAGTTTTCCAACTTCAATCTTTCCACTCTCAAAAGAAGAGTTTTGAAAATATCTAGGTCAAATTTGAACAGAACATTTTTAACGTCATTCGCTATCGCGCTTTTATTTTTTATTTTTGAAATCTACCCATTTTTTTCTACGAAAACCTGTCGAAAAAAGGAAAAATTCGAAATTCGAAATGTTCAAACCGAAATAACGACTATCCAACGATTAATAATATTTTTTAAATTTTTTTTTAGATATAATTGCGCCTGCAATCGTGAACATTGTACAGGACCTTGTTTTTATATGTATTTTCAACAATTTATTTAACTATTATACACCCAATAAATAAACATAAAAAATCAATTTGCATTCGTCATGAATGTATTTATTTATTACAAAATCGGACGGATTGGTTAAATTCAACATTAAAAAAAAATCTAAAAAATCTGTGATTTTCCGGAGGGTCCGGATCCCCTAAGCCGGTAGACATCAATGCGTTGCAACTTTCACAATGGATAAAAATATCGAACAATGAATTGGTATCAAATTTTGTATTTCTAACCAAATTTCGTGCGCGGAATCGTTGGAAAAGGCTTGCGGTGACGGTCAAGAGGTCGTTGAAGACATACCTCGTTCTGGACGACCTCTTCAGCTGTTGAAATTATTAAAAAGTGAGGGATATGGTGCTTGAGAATCGTCAGGCAAATGTTAGTGAGATGGCAAGGGAGCTCGAATTTTCTCACGAGTCCGTTCGAATGATTTTGGTGGATATTTTGGCTATGAAACATATTCTCCTCGATTCGTCCAGATAAAGCTGATGTTTATTTTTTCACAAAGAGTACGATTGTAACCCAATTCAAAAACAAAAACGCAATGAATAGAAAGAGATAAAACAAAATTCGATGAAAGAGTTTAAGGTTATACCAAAAAGTGCTTAGAAAAAGTGTTACGATATCTGCAGAACTCGTTGGGATAAGTGTATTCCATCTGGTGGGGATCACTTTGAACGCGGCAAAATAAACTTTGATGAAAATTTAAATATTTTTGCACTTTACGGGTACTTTTTTATCAAAATATATATATCATTTATGTTTTGAGAAAACTGCTTAGCTTGTTTGGGCAACTCTTAATATTTAAAAGAAATTCAAAATATTTTAAAATTTTGCAGTTTGGTTCCTCCAGTTATCGTACAAGACAATTTTGTTTTCGGTTTGCAATCAATATCTATCTACACATAGATATCTTAATTGAAAAGGAAAAAATTGGTAATAACTGAATTTATTTTTGAGAAAATAACACTTGCTGGCTCACAACAACTTTTAGAAGACTACAACTAAAGGACGAAAACAAAGCAGAGATGTAAACACATCCAAAAAATTTCACGAATGCGGGAAACCAATCGCATTCGGAAATGTAAGCGATATAGCAGTCCATTAAATAAAAGCATTAATTATCGGTTGGTCCGCATTTTATATTATATTTTCCCTTGCTCAAAATTCATATGATGGAATAAGCTGAAAAAACACAGGACTAAAAGTTTTAAAGTAAAATACAGCTTAAGTTTGTGGCGTGTGATATCTAAACTTTGCTGTTCATATCAAACTTTCAATATGCAAATATATTTTATTTCCTGAAGTCTTAAGAAAAGTGAAACGGTGCGTTTAGCGCGCAGGAATAATTTCCGTTTCTAGTATTTTCATTAGATCTGTACTACTACGCCATAAGAAACTCTATGGAAAACAGAAACCACACTTTTTCGAAAAAATTTCCGAAAAAAAGTGAGCTTTTTGTTAGAGAATTCTTGAGAATATTAACAATGTGTGTTTACTTTCGTTTGCGACCGTACTTGTATGTGAGTGACCCTTGAGTAACATCTAAATGTGTTTTGTTATATTGTACATATATATATACTAGATTTTAAAGTAACAAGAATTCAAACTTTGTCATACTTGTAACACAAAGCTATCTATCATAACACAAATAACTTCCACTAAAATGTAGAACTACAAAAACCGTACCCAAAAAATAATCATACAGTTATGTATAAAAATACAAATATATGATAGCGTCGGCAACTTAGAATGTTATATAACTGTAAGCTAATTGTATTTAAAAAACGTGTTATTCAAAGTGTATATTAACGGCATATTTGAAAACACAAACATAATATAATGAAATTATAAATATTTTATTTGTATACCTCTTGGATAACGCGGATGTCCATATCCGTGCCTAGGATGACGGGTCTCCTTGACCATCTCTACAACATTAGATACGGTATCGGAGAACCCAATATCATGATGTATGTATTGATGGCCTCGCCGTCTAGGACTTGGAGATCTGGCCAATGGAGATCCGTTATGTCTAATGCAGTAAAATTTTTTCAATTTGAGTTAATAATATTTTTTATTGAGTAAGTACCTTATTGTATAGACATTAGACATATCTGCGGATATTTTCAGTTTAAAAAGCAAGAATATTGCACTCACCTTAAACTTGGCGAACGACGATGATGACCATTGTGATACGCGTGACCAGGATGTAAATGACCAGCATCGGCACCGGTTAAGGATTCCTGCGATGGATGTCTCGAGGCATCCTGCAGCTCCAGCATCTGACGGAAATTATCAAGAGCGCAAATGTGAGTAAAGTGTGGTCAAAAATAAAAGCGATTTCTTCTACAACAGCTGATACAGAAATTACATTGGCAAGAAGGAATTACATATATAATACACAATTTATTTAAGGTTATGTATTTAGCTATGGTATCTAAGCAAGAAGGTACATACAGATGTATGTAATCAGATATCGCTATATATATATTGCATATAATGTAAATAAGTTTAACGTAAATTTCAAAAACTGGGTACTCAATAAGTTAAATGCGGGATACATATATGTATATGTTCTATAGGTGTTGCGACATATGCATGTAGCAGTTGTATAAGTGAGTATTCGCTACTTATAACAATATATCAATTAAATTTTTTCATTACTCAATGTTTCGATCATAATTCCGCTTCATACTTAGTAGTACTTTTTGTAGCGCTAAATTTTGTCTAGTTTCGATTGTGACACTATTCACTGTTTGCTCATCTAACACTCTGTCCTATATTTAAAAATTAAACAACAAATAATGGCCGTCTAAAATGATTTCGAAAAGAAGACCACTCTAATTAAAAACTAAAAAACGAACTAAAGAATTCCAATTCTTTATAGCATTGGAAGAACACACATCAATGGAGAAAAATGCAAGTGGAAAGAAGTTGTAAGAAGTTGCTTCAGACCTAGGAAAGTGCATGCAACTAGTTAATGCTAGGAACAAATAAAATCAACAGGATTGCAAGGCATTTGCTGGGCTTAAGAAGGATGCATTCGAAGGAATTTGCATAGCAATGTGCGTGTGGCTTGTGGTATGTGGCGTGTGCATAATTAGGAAATAGAGCTGCAGTGTGTTTGTGTGTGACTTACTTACCAAAAGGATTGCTAAAAACAAATGCACCTCTACAAGATGGTGTGGTAGTTTTCAAATGTGTTGCCACAAACGACAATTACGCAATTATGTAGGTGAATCAGTGCACTTACAATGGACTAATGGCCCCTTACTTTATTAATCGCATTCATACACTGGCAAACGAATTTGTGTAAATTTGACATTGTGTAGTGTTAACGGATGCAATTTAATGTAAACGTGAGTTGTTGTGTACGCTAAATGTTATTTATTATTCGATACTTCGAAAAAATATGTGTGAGTAACTTACTAAGTTAGCAAAACATGTAATATCATCATGGACTCTTAAAATTACGTTAAATAAAGTTAAATTGAATTGTAAATGAAATGCTTGGTATTCAATGTTCTCAGAGTTGCTGTTTTCTGAAGTCCTGTGTTATCGTAAAGGTATTATCGAAAGACAGGAAGCCTTTCTATTAGCAGCACTGCATTTTTTGACCTTTTTGCTATGAAAGAAAGGTCATTCCGATATTACTGGCTATTGCCAAACTATAATCAGTGCACTTTTACATTATTATGAATAAAAATAACACAAAGAGTGAGCTCTTTTAGAGAAGTTGTTATAACACGAGCCTTCTTACAAAAATTTGGTACAAATAAAACAAACTGAAGGATTCAAAAGTGGTTTTTACAGACATTTATAATGGCAAGTTGTAATGGTGGAAATATATGGAAACTCGTGTGTAAGTTTCCCAAAACACATGGAGCTGACAGATCGAGAAACAGGGCACCAGGGAAATAGTGGATCTCTCTTGCATTACGAAGACAACCCTATGAGCATCTGGGCTTGCTGCGGTATGTTCCACTGGAGGAGGTATCGATAGTGAGGTCGCACTGTCTGTTAAAATTCGTGTCAAGCATAGGCATTGTAAAGGATGACTAGTACCCATGAACTTAACAACTGATGGGGCTCAGTATATGGTGTCGCAAAGGACCAATAGTGGTCTATGAATGGCTTATGGGCCTCCCAGATTTACCTAACCTAACCCAACCTTCTCACATGTAGTATTAAGGAATTTTAACAGAGCAGAGATTTTTTAATGTGAGCTCTCACATCACATACGAAGGTCTGTGATAATTCGGCAATAATTGTTCGATCCTTGCTTACTTTGTCTATTAGCACAAAATCAATAAAAAAAAACTTTTCATTACGCTAGCCAAAAGAATGCAGGGTTTGTCCGGAAAGTAATAGGATTGAATTGATTTAAAAAAATTATAGAACCAATCGTTACAATTTTTTAAACATTTTCAAAAGAGGCTTCTTCTGCGGCGATGCAGCGCTGCAAGCGCGATTTCCATGCATTGAAGGTGTCACGGAATAACCATTGAGAGCTGAGCAATTTCATCAGCCTTTTCAGGCATGGAAACAAAAAACTTCTGGGTGGCCACATCTGGGCTGTAGGGCGGCGGCGGAAGCGTTGGAATGGTTAGGTAGCTGTTCACAACAAAGGCGATGCGAGACGGGGCGTTGCCGCGGGACATCTTCCTATCGGCTGCGATATTTTATCGGACCCCATTGACCCTTCGTTTGAGTCTGTTGAGGACTTCCACGTAAAACTTGGCTTTGACAGTTTGTCCAGGAGGAATAAATTCATCTTGCCTTTAATGTCAAAAAAGACAAGAAGCATAGTTTCTACTTTGGATTTCCTAATCTTGCCGTCTTTATTAACGACCTCTTCCCTGACGTCCAAAAAGATCTGGTGCCACCGAAACACACCGCTTTTTACCAAAGCAACATTTGTGTAAAACTGCTTGATCATATCAAACGTCTCTGTCACAGATTTGCCCAGTTTCATATAGAATTTAATCGCGTACCTCTGTTCTAACGCACGCTGCATTTTCAGTTTGCACCACTCACCGTCGCGCGAAAATCTTTGTCCTGTCGCTCGTTCGTTAACTAGGAACTCTCTCTACCGAATCCAGTGGGTGCGCACACGTTCCGTAGTACAGTCGTAGCGGAATAAAATCAGTCCAATAACTCTCCGGACAAACCCTGTAAAATAGGTGATCGTTGACTCCGTGTGAATTCCGCCACTGAATATATTCAGCGACAACCGCAGTTTAATTTTACACAAAGTCTCTATATAAAAATTAGCATGCTTTGGGTAACCGGAGATTACGCTAAAAAAATATATGTAATTAAAAAGTTTTAGCAAGGTTATATATATACCTATGTATGGTGCATATTAATATACCTATGTATGTATATACAGAACTTTTGCACTTCGATTGAGTCGTAGTCCCCGATCACCCTTTTAACATGAGCATAAAATTGCGCGTTTACCTTAATATTAATCTATTTTAAAAATTTTTATAGAAAATTAACGTTCTCTACACATTTATACACATTTTGCCAATATCACAAAGTGACAGTTTTTGCAATAATTTTACTTTAAATACAAAAACAACATTGAATTCTAGAATTCCACGACGTACGAACATATATACAAGAGTTAGACCTTTACCTTGTGGCTAAGTAAAAGGTTTGTGCAATTTGGACGGCTAAGGCCAAAGTAGTATTTATGCATATACATATATATTTCAGTACATAATTATGATAACAAATGTACACTAGGTATTAAAGAACTCGTATGTAGATTATGTAAATAATTGGCAAAAGAAAATATTTCATTACACCTATGCACATATGTACCTATTTAGTAAGTATATACTAGTACGTATGTACATTTTACGTATATGTACATGTGCATATTTATATACAGAAAGAAGTAGATGGCACACTTAGTCTTAACATACATACATCCAAATACACAGTACGAGAATAGTTTAGTAAAAATTGAAATTTCTTTTACCACTGGAAGTGTGTCAAACTTATTCACCTTTTTGTTTCTGAAATTATTTAAAAAATTGAAAGAAACAGAGTATGTATTTCAGCATATAAATACATATGACGTATAATAGTACCAAGTGTTGTATGCATTATTATGTTCAAATATGTTATGTATGTATATGAACTTAGAGAAATTATTAGTGAAATGAGCAATGAATAAGAGGCGACTGATGCATGGAGTTGGAGAGGTAGAGTAATTTTAAGTTAAAGAAGCATCTCGAAATCCTACTTTTTGAATATATCTGTATATATATTGCAAAAAAAGTTTCTTAAGTTGTTGTTAAATCTAACTTAATTTACATTTATTATTGGTCAAGATGTTTAATCTTTACAGATTTCGAGAGGTTTTTCATCTCTGGCCGACGTTTTTATTTATTTGTCCAATTCTATAATGTAAGTGTTTCGCCGATACATATTTACTAGTAGACCAAATGTGTATACAGTTTAGGAAATAAGTATGCGCAGAACCGTTGAGAACTCATCAGAGCTCTGTGATAGAAATGCTTCTTGATTGTAATATAAGTAACCTTCCTTTTCTCTCGATTTTGTGTTATATACAATAATTACTTCACATATAGCATACACTAGCGCTAGAAACCTTCTGTCACATATATTTGTATGTGTAAAGTATAAAGAGGATAGAGAAGTGTGTAGAAGTTCACGCATGTGATCAAAGTTCTCTGAGTGCCATTAACTTGGGAGTGGCCAGAAACGATTATTTTACATATGGCTTAAGCAAGTATCCTATGGATAACCTAAGAACATCCGTTTGAAGGTTGTATAGTGAGATGGCGAAAAGCCCCTCCGCAGGGTTGTGGGAGCAGTCGGCTATAACCGAGTAAGCGATGTCTAAGCCCATAAAGAAGAAGAAAGTATAAAGAGTTGTTGAAGGAATTTATTTACATAAACAATGGCTGAATTGTAGGAATTTACGGTGAATGAGAGATGAGTGGTGAAATGAGCGAATGTATATGACTGTCTGAGTAAGAACTGTATTTTCAAATTAAATAAAATGCACACTTATTCAAGCACATATTGGATAAATATTAATTTACCTAACGGAACGTTTTTTGATTGTAGTCCGGCGAGCCAGTGATGCCAAACTGTTGTGTTCGGCATCACCGTTCAGGTGATGATGATTTGTGTTTGCTAATAAGTGCGTTTGTGAGTTGGCACCACCGTCGCCGTTCGCTTCGTAGCTAATTGAACCCTGGCGCGATCCGCCCTTATCGAGTGCGGCCATATCGAGCAGGCAGTTGAAGAACGATTGTTTCTATTTTTGTGTGTATTTTTTGAACAGTTTTGCGAATTGTTACCAAAATAGGTCATACGTTGCCACCATGATTCATTTTGTATATTTAATCATTATTATGTATTGTTATGCGAACAATACATGGATATTCATGTGTAATTATTTTGTGATTTGTGATTTAAGGACGTAAAGTTCCGGGATGGATCCGAAGCATAAATGAATGTTTTGTTGTGTTTTTGGTACAGTGCGGTGCGGTGTGGCATTCCATGCGATTTGGACAGCATTTTAGGTTGAGTTGTTGTTTGATTGATTTACAAGTATTTTCGCATTTTATACATATTTTACAATTTGAATTTTTGTGATGCGTAATACGAGTATACAAAGAGATTTTTGCGTGGTGACGTGTGTGGGTGAATTCGTTAAATTGGTGAAGTAGCAATAAGAAAAGTATTTGAATTTTTTCGTTTTCATGATTAAAGGCATCAAAAAAGTAAATAAGATGAAAAATCGTTAGGTTGCATTCAAAACAATACTTTCAAAGTATATATTTTTTATGTAAATAAATAAATGCTTAGGCCTAAAAAAGATAAATGAGTGTCGGATGTGAAAGTATCTTCTGACTAGTTTTATGTGCTTTACACATAAATCATGGAACACAACTTTCTTTCAACTATTGCAAGCAATTTATTATTTTATTTTTGTTTTTATTTACAAAAACTGATTTAGTTTTGTTAAAAGAACTTTATTTATGCATATGTACTAATAACATAATGCTTGTTTATCGTTACGGTTTTATGGTTATATTTTAAAGTAGAAAAAAACATGCTGATAGCACTAGAAAACTGTTTACGTAAGTTTAAATTGGACTAAACTAGTTTGAAGTGTTTTCAGACAAACAGTGTGAGTTACCAATAGAAGAATATAATTTCAAAAAACGAGAAAGTTCATGCTAAAATCAAGTATTAAAGTATAAGTATTTTTTACATGCAACCATAAGTAAATTAAAGTCAAAAATTATAATAGAAGTAAATGAAAACTATTCGAATTGAAACTAATTATAAATATAGGACATCTTTGCTGGATTCCTCACTTTGCTGAAAGCCCCAATCGTTTGCCAAATTGTTTTTACTTTGCTATAAGCATTTATAAATATTTTTTGAATCTAGCCTTGTTATTGTTTATATGTATATGTAATCAACTAATTAGCGAACCAGTGTGATTAGTTATTATATTCGAATACATACATAGTACGATTATAAATAGATGTGATAGTATACTAGAAATAATTCGAAAAATATGGAGACCATAGCAATATCTAACGAAAATTATTTTACTAATGAACTTAATTTTAAATTGACAACTATAACTATTAGGTGTAATTTGTGACTACTGGAAAAATAAACGGTAGATACTTAATTTAAATGCAACAAAATTATGTATATTTTTGTAAAAAAAATTTCACCATCTAATAATAAAAGTTTGGAAGTCTTCGTGGAATCGAACAAACTTATTATAACAACATTGAAAATAAACATAAAAGTTTGTAATACATTTGATGTATTTTAATTAAACTATATTTCTCATTAGAGAGGTAATTTTTAAACTATTTTTAAACCATTTATAGTGCGCAAGCTATGGAACGGTTTTGCGGTCTGATATTTTTTTTTAACGAATCAAATTTTTTTATAATGGTTTTCAGTTTTCGTGGAGTTGAGCATGAAGCACTTATAACATTATAACTAATTCACACAAAACTACCGGAAGCAATGGGGTATGCAGTGCCGGTTTTAACACTACCAGCGCCCTGTGCGAGATTTCTACGGCGCCCTCCAACTGCATTTCAAACCCATTCGAAAAAAGGGAAAACATTTAATGAAATTACCGTTTATTAAAATAAATATTTCTTTATTATAAAAAATAACTATTTATTACACTAATAAAATTTTACTTTTCTGGCCATTCTATCAGCGAACTCTTTTATAAAGTCTTTTTAACCAAAAAGTTAAAAGGAGATAGACAATGTGTTTTTCTATAAGTGTAGCTAACATAGAAAAATCCGCTTAATTTAGGGAATTTACGACTAAGCAGGCCTCGAACTATAAGCTAGGGGGCGAATGCGGCGCCCCTTTTGACCGGCGCCCTGGGCGGTCGTTCAACTGCGCCCTACCCTAACACCGCTACTGGGGGTATGCCTACTTTGCTAAGAGGTTATGTTGATTTTCACGTCTGTTTATATTTTTTAAATACTAATATGAATGGAATATTTTCCCAAAGATTCAAAGCAATCGCAATAAAATTGTAAGAGATAGAATCCGTCAGGCTCTGCCACTCGCCTAACTATTTAAATATTTGATCGTGGTGACGACTTCTCAGACTAGTTAAGGGTTCTTATTGAAAATTTTCACAGTTCTTCTAAATCGGACGACCTTGTGATTGGTCATAAGATTTTTCGATTACAACTATGATTTTAAGGCAATTCTTAATAAGAGGTAGGCATAAAATTATACTGCATTGTTTGCAATTTTGCCAAAAATTAATTTTTTTCCAAATCCTTTTTTTAATTCGATCTACTAACCGACTAAATTTGGTTTTTTGATTTTAGATGAGTTCTTCGAAAATTTATGAAAAATTCACAAAATATTATTTAAATGCTGCTCTTTGATATACCCACGAAATGTGAAAATAATTCATTAATTATATGAGAAAGTTGGTAGAATTTTTTTTTTTTCGCTGTAAAAACCCGCATGATCCCTTAAAAGGAACAAGTAAAGTTTCGATATCAGTTGGCGGGTGATTCGTTTTTGTTTAGCTGTTTTAGTGTGGAAGACACCGACAAATGCTTCGCATGTTTGTAATGTAAATTTTGGAAGAGGTCTACATCTGTATAAGTTTGAAGAGAATTATCTTAATTGTTATTGAAACGTCGTGGAGCTCGGTGTTTTTTGATATGAGTATAATTTCAGAGTGAGGGAGCATCAATAAAACGAAATTCTTTGCTGTGGGTCCAAATCAACAAATGAATTGTTGCTAAACATAACGCAACAAGCGATCGTTCCTCAATTCACATCTTAATATATTGTTTATAAATTTGACGGTTTACAAATAAATACACATTTGAATTTGGGTAAGATTTTAACTTTTTTAGCGTTACTGGTCAAAAAATTCTTGTTTTCCGTCAATTTACATATGACTAAATGAAGGAACTACTCTATTAACATATTTGGAAAAAAGAAGATCCGACGACCTCGAGCCAAATTTTGTATAGCGATAAGGCCTGTTTTTGGATCATTCAGTGTGTAAACAAACAAAATTTGCGAAATTTAGGACATTTTATCCTGAAAAAACAACGGTTTGGTGTGGTTTGGGGGCCGCTGCAATCAACAGTTCACATTTCATCAAAAATGACGTCTGTGAGAACGTAACCGTCAATTGCGACCGCTATCGAGGCATGACAACCGATCATTTGATACCTGAAATTGAAGCTCGTGATCTCGGCGACATTTTGGTTTCAACAAGAAGGCGTCACTACCCAAACATCGCATCAACCAAAGTTTCTATTGAGAAAACACTTCGGTGAACAGATAATTTCATGCTTTGGACCAATCGATTGGCCACCATCGTGTGTTATCACACTGTTAAACTTTTTACGGATGGATCTAAGAGATAATCTGCAAAAAATCTGTTTGGCTTCTTAAATAGTTTATTTCTGTCAATGACGAACGAAAAGCCGTAGTGTTTCTGAGGAGCATACCGACTTCATCATTTTAGACCAAAGAGCTTACTTTCATAACATATTTTAACGGGTTTTGGTATTGACGTGAGTACAAATTTTCGCAAGGTGGCTAAATCGTTCCTGATTAGTTACGACTTTGACCCAAATTAGGTATATAAAGAGTCATTATCATATAAATATAATATTTAGTATAATATAGGTATATACAATTATTAATAAATATTTTCAATTTTTTGTTATTCCAAAACAAAAAAATCTAAAAATATGTAGTAGTTGATTTAAAAATTTATTATTTCACAGTGAGTAAAAGTAGAATCCATTAAAAGTTTGTAAGAAATTCTAAGTATTGTGTTTGTATTCGTGGTATCTAATTACTATTGATGTGCATTTAAATGTGCTTTAATAAATTCTTTCATTTCAAACGCAAAATATCTGTATTGTACTTGGTGTTTTTTTCATTTGGCCGATTCAGTAAAAAATAGTAAACCACAACTTGTGCGGTGTTCAAAATACAAAACTTTGGATTGTTCTGATTCCAGAACTTGGTAATATTTTGCGTTGAAACACACTCTCCGAGCTAGGGTACAAAATGAAGAAAGGTTTGTATATACATATGTAGGTATGTACATGGCTTAACGAAATTAATGCTTCCTTGAATATTTGTGTGTTTACTATACGAGTGTGTGTATGGCCCGAGCACAGTCGCCACAAGTACGCAAGCAAAATGCAGGTGGAAGTTTTCTTGGTAAAAAGGACACCATTCAATATGTTGTTGTTGGCATTCTTAGTTCAAAAATATAAATGAAATTCTTTAAGAAGCAGTTCAAAGTAAGAAGCGTAGCAGAATCTATTCGAAGATATTTATATGCATATTTATAGATATTTTTATGTTTTATAATAAAGAGAACACTTTAGATTTAAAATGTAAGAAGGGGCAATTATTTATATGTATATATTTTCATAAGACATCGATTTTTGAGGTTGCTGGCATATATACGTATGTATAAGTATAGTAAGGTAAGTATGTAAGTGTTTATTAAGCATATGTATAATTAGCAAAACGTTTAGAGAAGGTATATTTCCAGTATGGCTATTTAGTATATATGCGGGAGTTATTCATATTGGGAATACATATGTATATACACAAGAGTCTAAAAAATGCATAGTTATATGTAAAGTCAGTGGTGAAAAGCATAGGCACTTGAAAAGACCATTGGGGCATGAATGTACCGGCTGATCGTCGGCTGTTGGGCTTGGTAAGCGTTCTTCGTCTTCAGTGTGGCGCTTTTTCCGCTGAATATTTGGAACGATGTGCCGAAATTTTATATATATTTTTTTTTTAATTCGATGAATTTTAATCACAAATTTTTCATACAGGAAGGAGTATTTGGGTGCGTCATTTTTTAATGCGATTTCGTTTGATTTCGCGATGTAAATTTTTTGCGATAAAAGAACACACAAAACACAATTGCAATATTAATTCAATGGTTAACTTTAAATGCTAATTTATACTGTACTAATATAGAACAAAAATAAAAATAAAAACAATAAGTTTTTATAACAAACATTTTTTCGAAAGTTAAATATTTACAGATAACTTTACCAACATATTTATAACACGTGAATAATAGTAATTTCTTAAATTAGTCAACTTAACTATTTAACGAAATGTTCCCATGTAAATTACTAGAAATTAACGTAGTCGTATATTATATATAAAGTACTTCTTCAAAAGATAGTTTTTACTTTACTTTTAACACTGTGCATTTTAAGAAATATTTCAGTAAATTACTTTGCTATGGTCATTAAGTACAGAACTAACATACATCATACGGAATAATAATAACGAAACCTACAGAATTGGGTTATCTGCAGAAGTGTGTTAAAAGAACAAACAACCTTACTATTTATAACGAAAAAAATTTCAAAATTCTTAACGGCTTAACACAAAAACATATAATATTATAATAACATATAATAGAAAATTGTTGGGCGTTGGAATTATAAACTCTGAACTAAAAATGCATATTTCTTGATGTATTTGTATATGTTAGTATATACCTCCTTCCAATTCTGCATTTTTAAAATGTGTTTACACATTTTACATACAAGTAAGTGAAAAGAAATGGTTTGCATTATACAATTATCGAAAATATATATATTTTTATTTTTTATATTTTTTTGATACAATTCGTTTTAATTGCCTTGATTATTGTTATACTAAATTTAGAATTGTGCAATTATTTCGTTCATTATATATTCACTACCTAAGATATATACACATTGGGTGGCAAACGTCAACTGGTGACTTCAGAAAACCAAACTAAGTAAAATACTTAAGTATGTACATATCAAATTGACATTGGACAACGTGTAGCGCTTTTCGAATGTCAAAGACCGTTGATTTATTGTAAGATTTCTATTTTATATTTGCAATACACGAATGAATCAGTTTAAGTTAAATATGTGTATTTTTTCAAAACATTAATCAATTGCTGCGAATCGAGACGCATTTGCAGACAACAACAAGAGAGAGGCCGAAATGCATGAGTACGAACAGCTTGACAAGCTAGCCGACAGAGTAATGCTCGAAAATACTAACAAAAGGTTTCAAAGCCGCAGCATACTCTTGCGACTTATGCCAAGAACGTACTGAAATTATGGAGGAAACACTTCTCCAGCCTACTAAACGGCAGTTAAAGCATAACATCAAGAGACGGTGGACTCGATTCCCCAATCGATGACGATGAAGCAGACGTTCCATTGCCCGACCATGAAGAAGTTCGAATAGCCATTACAAGTCTGAATAATAACAAAGCGCCGGGTCCCGATGGCCCATAGCTCTTATTGTGTTTTAGATATCATGTAAGGTAAATTCATCACCAAATTGATTTTTACAACTGTGCCCAAAAAAGAAAAAAGTGGTAATACTTTTAAAACGCACTTGTCAAACTGGACAATTGGCAAGCTTTTGAATTTGTCACGACCACACATTAGATGTTATTTCCTTCTTCAATTTACAAAGTTCCCGTAAAATGTAAACGCTCTCTTGATGATAATCTGTAGCGTTTTCCATAAATTCGTGAACAATCAACTTGCAGCAATCGATTTATAAATAGTTATTTAATTTCTATTAATACACATACGTATGTGTATTTATATATAGGCGGCCAACAATCTATTGATATTCAAAAAGCACACATCTCCAACTGAATTGAGTTGAGCAATAGATAGTTTGTGATCATAAAGAAAATAAAAGTAGTTCTAGAGAATAATAGAACCAATAATTTCAGCAATAAATTACAAAAACCAAATAAAACATTTGAAAACATTTGTTTTTAATTGATTTTGGGTAAATTTTTAGTTTTTGTTTGTGATTTCTTTGCGTATCTAAATATTTACAGTTGCTTAAAGTTAAACGGCCCTGAACATTTTCCTACTTACATACATACTTATGTTAAGCGAAATTTGTATGCTTTAATATATACCCCCGTCTCCCAACTACTATTATAAACGTATTTATATAATATAGTAGATATGTGAATTTCGATTTCGACCGATTTTATAAAAAATATACATATCTTGTTAAAATTGAAATTTTGATTGCAACAACTTACCGGCATGCCAGAATCGATTTGTCCGAACCGCGTCGTACGCCACGACTCCAATATCAATTGACCGGCATACACTTTGCCAACTGACAACTTTCCTTTATTCAGTTGGTCTATGGGTGGTACAAGCAAATCTAACATTTTCTTCGCTTGCAAAGGCCAAATATTCGTTATAGTTTCCCTAAGTTCCATATCCGCTTGATCCATTTCCTCCGCTATAGGTGCAATAAATGATTTAATGAACTTATTAGTGTACATTTCTTTAGAAAGTTTTCCTTATATTTTATTGAAAATAAAAAGCTTTAATAGACAGAATACAAGGTGGCGTTACGTCAGTTTGGCTACAAGAATTTTTCAATAGTTAATATATAATCGGTACCATATCATCGTGTATTACGAACATACAAATTATATTAATGATCGATAACTCGACTTAAGGTACCAAGATCAGCATACAACTTGTATTCTCTCATTTGTGGAGAAGACTCACCAGATCGCATCTTAATGCTCAAATTTTCGCGTATCAACGCAAAAAGCGTCGTTGTAAATTGTACTCTCATTTCGTCATCTAACGGCATATTCATACGTATTAGTTTCTTATAGGCGAGGCGATTGGGACATTTGTTACCGAACCCCAACGGAGGATCCATATTTTTTAACATATCATACATTTCCGTATGATGTATTCTACCACTACGTTTTCGTTTTCGTTTTCGTTTTCAATTTGTTATTTTTGTTTCAATTGAAGTGATTTTTCAATTCAGTTTCGGTTTGAATGGATCGGTTGGATGTGTTTTGAATTCGTAAAAAGCATATAAGTAAGAAAAGTAATTAATTTCTTTGGAATTATCAATTTCGTTGTATTTTCAAGACGAAAGTACAAAAGATTTACAAAATACTTGAAAACAGAAAGGTACATCATTTGTACTATACATTTGATGCTTACGACTACTAAGCGTTTAAAAGCATAACAAGAGATATAAACAGCGAAATGTATTGCAAGAATAAATATTTAGATATACAAACATAAAATATAAAAATTATGGCAACTGCGAGATAATTGCAAATAAGCTTATGGCAATGAGATTTCTCTGGCTTTGTGATCATCAGCGTTAAAAAAACTCCACTAAGAGATGTGTATACATATGTATGTATGTAAACAGAAGGTGAAAGCTTCGTCAAAAGCCGGTAAGCCTCAGTAAAGAAAGGGAATAGCACGTTTATACCAGATATATCATAGATTTTGACAACTGAGAGTAATTAGCGAAATTCAATTCTCTTTATAAAAATTCCTTTTTAGAAATATACAAACTTAACCGTAAGTCTACACGCAAAGTAGCAAGCTTTTTAGAAATATTCATTATAATAATAATATATACTATGAATACTTAATTCTTGTTTAGTTATTTTATGCATGTTTAGTGAAGGGTGATACTTCAAAACCTCCTGCTTGAAGTATATGTTTCTTTTGCCACAATGACATATAACAGTAAAATCATTTGTTTCTGCACTTATTTTTTAATATGAAACAAATACGAACAAGTAATAATCATTTAATATAGAGTAGGGGCTTGCATAAGCTCTGCAGTATGCATGACTATTAAAAAAGAAACGAAAATGAATCTTGGGAGATGATATGAATATCTATGAACATTAAACAAAATCTTATTAAATATATATGTAATAATGATTTAAACGAAGCCACAAATGAGCTCATAACTAATAATTTGTGAAGTTCAAAACTGCAATTATTATGCTTTAAGGACATCACAGCGAAACGGTGGAAAACATATATATTTCGAGTTATCAGAAGATTTCGCTGATCTATAGGGAAACTTTATTAGGCAGATTAATACATTACAAACAATCAATTTTTTGGACGATCCGCTTAATTTCCTTATTGATTTATGTTATGATGCTCTTTAAGCACAGCATCAACTTGCAACTAGCAACAAAACAAAGAAGGTTTCTTAGATTTTATCGGGTAATATTTTATCTTAGACGTTGCAGGGTAATTTAGATCTTGTGGGGTAAGTTGCTGTGACTTGCATTAAGTTAGGGTATTAAGAACTGGTAAAAGCGGTACAGGAGAAGAAACTTTTTATTACAGGGTCCACTTTAATACCTATAGCGGCTTAGAGGAAATTTAGCCCACTTGGAAAGTAATAAATATAACATTTGGGGCTTTTCTATTGCCTTTTCCAGCTGGAAAACCTTAAACGCCAGTGTTCCCGAATTCTTCGAAAACCTTTTTTTTACAATAGTCTTACAGTAATCGAAGTAACCAATCGATTTCCACCCATATGGCAGCTGAACTAAGAATTTAAGTGTGAACACTGAAATGCTTGTTACTTATTTGAAAACAAGAGGGGCGGGGAAATACTCACATTAAAACGTCGAAATAAGTTATGAACTATAAGAAAATGACACTGACAATTGGTACAAAATTCAAAACTACGAAACATAACGAAAGTGAAGAAGCACAGTAGTATTGTAAAATAAACCTACAAATATGTACTCTTTCAACAAATGTATGCTTGTTTAATCAATACTATTTTTTTTTTTTTTGTTTTGTTGTTTGGTGTTATGAACAAAAGTTGAAAAAAATGTACACAAAGTGAGTAAATGAAACAAAGGTAAATACACATAGATATATTAAATTGATAATTACGTCGCATTTGGATCATATTCAGCCCATATACGAACGAACTCGTCCAAATGATGGGCACCCAATATACTGGAGTCTCTTGTAAGATAATCAAAATTATCCATAATAACGGCAACGAATAAATTCAACATGAGGAATGAGCAAAAGAATATAAATGATACAAAATATGCATATGCCAGCGTTGACCCGCATGTTTCGTTGCCCTTGTCGGCCTCTTCATCGCATGGCCTCCCCTTAAGGCACGCCAGCATAATGTTCGGCCACGCCTCGCCAGTTGCACATCTATAAAGATTATTCCAAAAATATTAGCACTCTGCACTATAATAAAGATATCATCTATCAATCTACATACTTATAGTATGCTACAATACATTCTGGTTGTTTATACGACTACAAAGATATATATGTATATATATTGCTAGTAATATTCTATCTATGTATATTGATAAAACAACAATAAGTTTTATAAAATATATACATACAAAATATTGTTTATTAATTGCTTTTTCTCCGCAATGGGTGTGTATGTGTGTAGTAAATTGTTCTAATATTTAAAAAGCTGCTAACTAAGATCAAGCCTATATTTGGCAACACATGTTTCAGAGCAAACAATTAAGCTACTGAAATTTGCTGTAGCAATGAAAAAAAATCTAATTTTCAATAATATCTACATACATTATTTCAAGATGAAAATTTTTAATTTTAGTATGGTATCCACATTTATATAAATTTTGTGGTTTCTGTAAACTAGTCTCAATATTCAATTTATAGATTTAAACTAAGCGCGAAACTACTTATTCTTCTGGTTGCAAGAAGTTGCCGAATTCAGCCACTACATGTGGTTAATTAACTACTGCTACCTGTTTTGGGTCGTAACTAGAGGTGTCGGTGTTAGCATGGACTGTATCAAGACATGATACTGGCTGTAAGCAATGTTCATCCCGCCGCCAAGGTAGGCATTCTGATTGGAGACTGCCCAATAAGCTTATATGCGGTGAGGTTTCATATCTTGCCGGGCGAAAGTCACCAAAGCTTTATGGAAGAGGGGGGGTGGAAGCACCTAGACACTTTCTTTTCAACTGTCCAGTTGTTACTGGACTAATGTTAAAACGTCTCGGTAGACTCACTTTCGGAAAACCTGGCAAAGTTAGTGGGATTGATAATAGTCGCCTTCACAAATCTGGTATAGGCCCAAAACGTTTCCTCTAGTTTTGGATATCACAAAGTACCAGCCTTCACAGCTGCCCATATAGTTGCATGTGTCACTTTTGGAGCGGGGATCAGCTCTACGACCTAGCCTAACCTGAAGGCATTTTAAAACTCGTTATTCAGACATTGAAGGACCGTCGAAAATATTGAAGGATCTATTTACAGGACTAGCAAAACAAGAATTGAACAAATGGTCTAGAATCGCTTACAACTCAAGGGGAAATTATTAGCATACTTGTGCTATGAAATAWATAAATTCCGTGTGACAAAGATACCACAATTTTGGTACGTTTGGTTGAAGTTCTTTCACGTTTTAATTATGAACGTTAATCTGAAAAGTTCCTTTGAAGCGACAACTCTCTCTTTATTTGTTAACAGTGAAACGATCCAATAAGTAATCGCTATATTAGTCAAGCTTCTTTATTTTCTGACTGTGATTTCTCTGATATATGTGTGGGTACATTATTTAATCTTACTATTTATCGGCTTTGTTTGTGAGTTAATCAGTTCTGTCGGTATATGTGTATTACTACTAAATAGATGAATAGCATAAAACTATTTTATTTAAATATGTCTGTATAATATTTGTTTATTTGACGAAAACAACAATTTAATGAACTTTGAACTTTACTTTTTTGTACCAGTGTGAATTTGGTGTGTTTTTTAAGTATATTTGCTATTTATTGAATATAGTTAACAAACACCAGTGCAGTAAAATCTATTAACTGGGAACTGTAGGATTGAACTCTAAAAAATTGCAAGCACAAGAAAATAATAAATTTCTAAATGAGCATGTGTATAGAATGTCTATAAGTGTAATTGTGTTGCTTTATTTTCGGCAAAAGAATGGTCATACTTTATCAACTATTTTATATGAGTATAAAGAAAAATTACAAAAAGCACAAATTTGAAAGAGTTTACAAATATTTGGACAAAATCCCAGTTGTTTTCGTTGAAAGCTACTGTAATCGTTAAGAGCAATGATATATTTTATTTAACTAATTCATTATGACTGTTAAATTTATCATCTCACTTAATGTTTACCGATTTCTCATATTTCTCATCTCAAAGCTTAATTCCCAAATAACAACTTTTTTTTTTTTAAACGATGAAATCTATGATGAAACTAATGATCAAACTTCGAACCGCGATATTCTAGGCTGAGCGATCAATAAAATCAGCGATTTAAATTTAGGTGAAATATTTGAAAATTTAACGAAAATCTTGAAAATCCGAATAGATTCCAATAGGTTTGAAATATTTCACACAGTATTTTTTTGTTTAAAATGTGTACTTCCATATTCGGATAATTTAATTGGTAACACTAAATTTTTGCAGGTAATCGTTATATTTCTTCTATTCTTTAGAAACAGATTATCTTAGAAGTTTTATCATTATTTTTATCTAACCAAATGACATTGATTTATTCAGGTAAATTCCAAATTGCGAAATTATAATTCGCAAATATTACGATTTCATAAGATATGAATTCAGTCTCTGAAGAGAATGAATTGTGGTGTTCGCCATACATTGATGGATCCATAATAGCATTATCGTACATGTGTATGTCTCACTGTAAATAAGCAGCAGCTAGGCCACAGAACATTGATTTTGAATACTCCGCGTAATAAAAGTCTGCGGTCAAGCGTCTTAGAAGCACTAGTAGAATTTATCAGATGAGGTGGCTTAATAACAACCCACTGATTAATTTTGATCTGGCTTCTGTAAAGAGGTTGTTGTTTAGAGTTGTAGAAAAAGAAAATGAGAGAGCTCTATCTTATGATATTAAAGGAGCATTCGAAAGAAGAAATGTTCACGATAAATTTGATGACTTTTTAATAGACTTTAGTAGTATACAGAAACTTATTTTACCATATGCAAATTTAAAAACATTTCTGTGAACATTGGAATAGATGGAGACTATTAAAAATGTACTTAATGAAGTTGAGCTCAATAGTAGTTAAAAATCCTCAGCGTTAAAATAATTTAGTTAAGGATAGTACTCTTAATATTCTATTACTTACTACTACTTTTACAGGAGGCGTATACTATGTGTACTAATTTATACTTGAAGAAAGTTTTAAATTATGTCTGTTATGTACTACATAATTTAATGAGATCTGCAAATAAAAATATTTCAGTCTAAGTGAATGATTTTTTACCGGTTTCATCTATAACAAATATAGTATAATTTGTTCGTCTCTAAATATTTTCAGGGATTTTGTCCATTCACTAAATGCCTTAGATGTAGGAACATACATACGAGTATATGATAAGTGGGTATAATATAGTTGCATTAATCCTTGAGATTATGTATTCACCTATCTATATCTATCGTTAACAATTTTAATAAGAAATCGTTCTAGGTTTTATAATTTCACATTGATTTTCATATATATCTGAAAGTATATAGTGTCACTAGAAAATTTTTAAGACGCGCTAAGAATTGCATAAAATTATCTTTTTTGTTTTGTTTTTATAATGTTCATTATATTTTTGTATTCGTTAAACGTTTAGAAAAAAGAGTCCAGCGAAACTAGATTTACATACCTGAATAGCAACATGACGCCTTGTATAAATGATTGGAAGTTGTTGTGCCTAGTAATGGTATTATCCATTGTATCTAGTTTGATATTCCCAAACACCTATGCATGTAGCGAATGTGATTTAATTTTAATAAAAAATCAGTTTTTGTTCTACTATTGTTTTTTTTTTTTTTGTTTTTTTTTTTTATTTGTAGAAGAAATGAAACAAAAATGGTGATACAAAAGCTGGAAAATTATGAACAAACTCAAACCAAAGGAATTACATAACAAACAATCGATTTAAGTACGAAAACATATTCGAATTTGATTTAATTGTTATCGCTAGATTACTTCTTTAAATTTGGCATTAAAAGAAATTATGCTTATAAATACAATTGGTTTGTCATGAAACTGTTTTTATGTTCGTGTTTGTATGCTGGTCGACACTTTGTACGAAAACCAAATAATTAAGTGAAACGAACGTTCTAAGCCTTCTACTGCATAAATCATGTATAGGAAACTTAAACTGAAACTGAAACTGCTTACAATAATTACATTTGTAGTGGGGTTAGAAATACTCGAAACAGAAAACTGGGTAAAAGTGGGGATGTGAGTACAGTAAGCACAAAATGTGTTTACGATCGTGACACAGCCCCGGTGAGAAATTCAAACAGCATTTAATTTCAACAATTACTACAAATATTCTTTGTGATTTTAGCAAATTATGTTGAAGGGTGGCTTTGTACAAACATTGTAAGGGTTTATGATTGTGGTGGCGCTTTCTGTGTGTGTGTGAGTGTGTTAGAACTCCAGAGTGTATTAAAAACCTCCATCGAACTTCTCAAACACTCTTGTCTATACGTTAAACTACATATATGTATGTATGTATGTATGTTACTTTACTTTTTTGTTAATTTTAACGGCAATGTTTAAAACAAATATCCAACTACGTTTGTTCGGTACGATTTTAATTTATTTCAACATTTATTACTTGATTTTGTTTCTAAATTACGGGCTTAATATGTTTGTGGTGGTGTTTTTACAACTTCCCAAACAATATACATATGTATTTATATACATAAAATGGTATGAAAAGGAATTTTTCAAAAGTCGTTGTATAAATTCAAAACTGTACGTAAATATTTAGTTTAATGACATTCCTCAAACAACAACTCGAGAGAGCAACGAAAAAATAATTAACTCTATTCGATATATATAAATATATATATGTACGTACGATATTTGTATACTGTGTACTAGCTACTGTAAATACTAGACTATCCCCCAAAGAAACTTGTTTTGCAATGTATTTGTATGCATGTTCTAGTATATATGTATGTGAGAACTCTTGAATTATATTTTGTAAGTAGGTTTGGGTATGCAATAAATATTACTGTTGTAAGTTTATTTTTTTTTTTTTCGTTCAAAAACAACGCCAACACTATTCAAAAGAGCAACGGCAACAAATACAAATATCATATAGTATATATGTACTTATATGCAAATATTATAAATAGTAAATATTAGTAGTTATACGGGTATATGTAATATATACGAATTTTTAAGTAACTTTACTTGTAAACAATATTACTTGTAATAAATAATTACTTTGTTTGGCAATACTTGTTTTAAGTCAACATTGTTTTTGTTTACCGAAAAAGCAGCATGATTCCACCGGAGAATGACTGAAAATTATTGTGACGGTTGAGTTGCGTATCCGGATCATATTTAATATTTCCAAAAACCTTTAAATTACACACATTTAACCATTTCGTTTTCGGTTTAACGATTAATGCATTTTAGTTTTTTTTTTCGGTTTTTTGTTCGTCATATTTATTTGATTTGCATTTGCAATAATTGTTTGTAATTTGAGCGTTGACATATCATTTTCAGTTTGGTAATCGTTATTTAGTATTTGTACAATATATAAATATAAATATAACAAAAGATTATTAATCATGTTATCAGTATAGAGATGAAATCCTATGCTATAAAGATATTGCTATGTAACTACTTGCTCTACTAGTTAATATGAACGCTCTCGGTTTTTCATCAACATACTAACGGGACACTTGGACTACTTAAGTTTTCGAAATCAATTATTTGTTGCCAATTTGAGAAAGCGCTACTATATGAGTTGATGAGACCACCGAGTAACGCTAGAATAATAAGATATTTTAAACTCTACGAGAGTTTCCAAAAGAATGGACACTACAATGTTTTAGGCTAGAAAAATAAAGGTTTTGTTAAGAGTTTCAAGAAAACTGCTTAAAATTTATCAATTAACTTAACAACTCACTTCATTTATAACCGCGATCAAAAGAATGTCTGTCACTTGGAATGGCGTGCAAATATTGCAGCAAGAATGTCTACCATTAAAAATATATTTTTTTGTACTTCTGTTCCTATTTACAGAGTTGAATTTCTAATCAATAAGCTGGATAAGATATAAACTATATCTTATAATGAGAATAAGGCCCAAAAACAGAGTATTATTTGTGGACAACTAAAACTTAGCTTTAAAATAGACATCTATGGAGGTCACAGCTGTCGAACAATTGGTAGATGGCATATTTTTTGTGTAATTTAAATTTTGAACATTTGTGTTAAATTCAAACATGTAGAGAAGGACAAAGTTGGAGAAAACCAAACACTTTAAGCTCACGCAATTTGCAAAGATTAAAGCAAAGACTTACTTACAGGTGATTACAAAAGTGCAGGATGGGACACATACCGAGAGTTGAAAAAGGAAGCGAGACGCATTTGCAGACAAAACAAAAGAGGTCGAAATGCGTGAGTCAGAAGAAGTTCACAAGCTGGCCGACAGCGGGCGGAGGTAATTTAGGAGATGGTGAACCCAATTTTCCAATCGATAACGACGGAGCAGACGTTCCATTGCCCGACTATGAAGAAGTTCGAATAGCAATTACCCATCTGAAGAACAACAAAGTGGGGGGGCCAATGGATGGTCGCCAGAAGTATTTAAAATATACATCGGCTAGGAACTGATAAGAAGCATGTATTAGATTCCTTGTAGAATATGGTCAGATGAAAGCATGCCCGACAATTGGAATTTAAGTGTGCTCCGCCCTATCCACAAAAAATGAGACCACAACTACCGTTGGATAGACTTCCTCAACGGCGCTGATCAGGTTCTATCGAGTGTATTGTGTGAAACTGCTGAAAAGAATAATTCGAGCTGCATAGCTGAATAGAGAAAGCGCAGTCTTTTATAAAAGTTTGCTGCTGCTGGCGCACAACTTTGATATTGATATCGTTGGCTTCAACAAGCGCGACGTTAGTTGAATAAGCAGGCGGAGCAAATGGGTCTGGTAGTGAACCAGGACAAGGAGAATATATCCTGTCACCAAACAAACAGTCGTCGCACTCGCGACTTGGCCCCCACGTCACTGTTGACAGTCATAACTTTGAAATCGTGTATTCCTGCCGGGGGAAGCAGGGAGAGATCAGATGGGAAGGACCTGGCTGCATTTGGTTTTTCGAATTGGTGCCAAATTGTGAAAAGAAGAAACAGTTATAACCGCGTAATTGGTTTCTAAACCAGTAAAGAAGAAGAAGAAGAGTATAAAACTATATTAATTATTAATTATATATTAAAAACTTTTACGAAGGAATCCAACATTAATTTTTCGGAAAAGCCAATTGGATTACGAAGGCGCGTGTATCTTATCAATTTATGTATATTAATCTTACTCTCCCTTGGAACATCTGTACCAATTTTCCTGAATATGTGTATCCGAATTTTTCCGGACGAAGACACAGAAAAAATTTTGTTGTTGAACCAAATTTATAATCGATCTCGGATTTCGTTCATAGATGATTTGACCACAAGGTGCTTTTTATAATTAAAACGCTAAACACGATGGTTGAGTGATCCTTTTTAACTATAGATAGTTAGGAACATGAAGTAATTCGAAATATTTAAACCCAAGACATTACTGTATTTAATAAAGAGTTACACTCTCCAGTAATTTTAAAATGCTTAATAGACCATCTGCACTGGAATTGTATTAACCCAATTGAAACTTAGGCTTATATGGATAGTAGGGGAGATGAAATATTTGCTTAATCGATATTTTGGCCGTCAATGGCGCTATCCTCAATTCACTTTAAAGTTCTGGATTCACGCTATGATGTATGTAATAAATCTTTGCTGGTGTGAATTCTTTTGAGAATTGGCGAATTTTACCATTCGACTCTTAAGAACACGTATTCAACGCAAATTTGAAAAAGTTCGCCATTTAAGTTGAAACTGATGGGGAAATAGACTTCAAAACTATTTTGTGATGAAAAGTTTTAATCAATAGAGACGAAATATTTTATAGATTCGTTAAAGGACCTTTTTTTAAGTTTTTTGTGATTCTTAAAATTTAAAAGTTGGCAACTATAGTTTCGTGACTCAAATCAGTAAAAGCGATGTCACAATTTTTTTTCATGTACAATGTTTTCAGAATCTTCTCCCGGTAAGTTTTCACTATTCTCAGACTCTAATCGAAGAAATTTGGGCCCGTTATGAAGCAAAATGTTAACCACAATATCCAAACCTTAGAAGTCATTGTATTATTAAATCGAATTTTAATTGAAAAACTATTCTTCTAGCCCTCCTGCGTTCTGCTATGAAAAGGCAGTAGTTTTATAAACAAAAAGTTTTATAATTGAAATCTAGTAAGGTTTCATAAGGTGAGCTTAAGTATATCTTATGAACAAAAGCAGTTAGTATTAGAAAGTTATAAGCATGTCATAAAAGTCTTTTCGTGCCACCTGATTTTCGTTGTTTATAAATGAGTTCCATAATATTTATTAACAAAACCTTTACTCTAAAGTTTCTCTAAATGTACTTCCCTAAAGGATGTATTCATAATCATTTAAAAACATGATGAAATTATGCCAGCTATTTCTTTCATATTTTCACTAACCCACCACACTAGAAATATGAAATTAAGAAAGTAAACTGACCTAACCACAACCATATACTTTTGATAAAAATGTACAAGTTAAACGACTTATATTATAAAAAGTTCAAATAAAAACAAATTCAATAAAATAATAAAAAAACTCACAAAATTATATGCAAAGAAAAAGTTTTATGAAATAGTCAAGTATTTTCAATAAAGAAATGAAAAAAATTTCTTAAAGGCGGTAAGTACTTTTTAGATTTTATTGTTATGTTTTGATGATATTTCATGTTTTCATTTCACACTTACCTGCATTCCAATAATAGCATAAATAAAAAAGAGCATGGCTATTAACAAACAGACATATGGAAGTGCTTTGAACGATTGTACAAATGTCCACAACAGGATTCGTATCGTGTATCCTTGACGGAGTAATTTAATGAGACGCGCCGCACGAAATAAACGCAGGAAGCCAACGTTGATTGAGTTCGACTGTAAAATATTTTTGGTCAAGAAATGAAAGAAACAAACAGAACACAATTAGCGAGCACTTTTTCGTGAATTTGTGTAACGGTTTTATTTGTCAGGCAGTGTGGTTGTTCCTTGCTTTTCAGCAAATATTTTTTTTTTTTTTTTTTGTTGTATCTGTTTACTATCAGGGGTGAGTTAGATACTTATTGATTTGAACTGTTTTACTAGTGGTAAGTGAGTGGTACGTACAAAATTTTGTAAAATTGTTAATCATACGTTCTTTAAGTAAAAATGTTAATTTGGAATACTAATAAATGGTGAAATAATGATCAAGACATTACGAGTAAAATTTTAAAATTTTGACATAACTTATATTTTAGAAAAAAATACGTAATAAATTTAAAAATTTACACACCAATTACACATAATATTCGCTATTCAATAGTAATTTAACAAAGTGAGTGTGAATATTATGTTAGTAGACATTCTCAAAAATAATTGTAGTCAGAATTTTGTAATTTTGTACAAATGCCGAATTCGCTCTTAATTATACATACGTTTATGAAAAAAATACTCTCAGTAAAATAGAAAAATCGTACACCGAATCTTTATATTTTCAAAATGCCAAATTATGCCAAAACTAAAGGTGCTATAGTATAAAAAGCCGATACGTAAAATATTACAACATAAGTATTATAGGATAGTCGTATTCTAGAAAACCTAAGTGTGTTAGCTTGTCGTAAGGGGATGTTAAACCAATTTGGAGGTCTGATTGTCACACTAATTCAATATTTGAGTTGTAGCCCGTTTGTAGTTTAATGCTATCATTTCCATACACGCAAACAGGCGCGTGTATAGTGCAATGCATTGCGTCTTAGACCAAAATATTTTACGCACAGACTTTCCGTGTCTACCATAGATCTGTGACTACTGCATACCCGCAGCTGCTGTTGACCCGTTTCATTAACTCCATATATTTATATACGGCTGGGTGGGTATGGCTTAGTAGTACAAGTATTTATGGTAGCACGCAACAGCATCCATGCCAAGACGTGTACCGCCTCGCAGTGGCTTCTTCAGCGTGCTGTGCGCATGCAACCCTTCGACTGTGCCGTTGTTGCTGAGCTGCTGGCCTCGTGATTACGCTTGTAGCTGCTTAAATATACGTATGTTCTTCAAATATTATTTCTCGTTTTAGGGCACTACACGTAGTAATATATGATAGCAGTAGTGACAGTTTGAATATGCGCACATTAAAGGGAATTATACTTAAAATAGTTTTGGTATAAAATAGCACTACTATTGCTTTATAGAATATAAGGAATATGTACATTAATAAACTAGTTAGAAGTAGGGTAATGCGTTAGCATATACTTTATAAATATAAATTCAATATTATAAGGTTACTTAGCGCAATACGAAGGATAGAATATATAACGTTATTAAGCAGGATATTTACGATCTATACAAACATAATTTCTTAAATAAATTAGAGCATTTGAATCCATTATCTGCAGGTGTAGCATTATGTTACAAACTAATGACCTATCTGCCTAAAGATAAGAGATTTAAGTAAACATATAATAACCATAAATTTCAAAGGGTTTTGAGAACTAAAGTGACATTTATAAAAATCGGAATTCCAGCAGTTGACAATATACATGTGTACACTTAGAGCCGAGAAGAGGCCAATAACATTTTGAGCGTAAAAAGCAGTTGAACTGTGGTATGTACATAACAGTATACTTAGCGTCATTTGAAATGCAAAATGTCGATAAAAAATTTTTCTTATTTCAACAGTGAAATACATATATGTATGTATATCAATTTCGTAAATAGATGTTAATTATGCGCTTTGCACTTTATATGACGATAAGTTTCTATGCGAAATGGTAGAACAGTATATGCATAAGCGAGTTTGTTGGAGTATCAAAACAAGCAAATAAAATCTAGTAGTATATCGTGAATCGAGTATAAGGTGCTGTAGTTCAGATACAGTAAAATAAAAAGAATAGAAAGTTTTGTTACACGCGTTCCTACAAAAACTACAAACCTATAATTTGTTTCTAACTATTCTTGCTTGTATACCTGCCGACATTTCGTGTTACTGTGAAAGTTTTTCAATTTTTTGTTTTCACAAAAAATGCTTCAGTCATGGGTAGTCACTACAAATTAGTAGATTCTTAACATTCGTCATGTTCGAATGATAACAGGCGTGCGCGTTACTGCAGTTAACAGGTTTTAAGCGGTTACATGAATTTACGGATTTCAAAAAGCCGATCATTTGTATTCTTATTAAATTCTACAACACCTCTAGAATATTGTCCTCAATTCTATAGTTGATTCGAGTAATAATTTTAGAGATATAGCCTTGAGAACATGTGCGGTCGAGGCTAGCTAGGCTAGGTCTTCAAACGCATTTTTCTTGCAACTGTGGTTTTGAAGTCGGTTGGCAAGATTTCTCGAGAACTACTGAGCGATATTCATGAAATTTTACACAGGTGTCCGATATACAATTCTTAACGACTTAGACAAAGGATTGTTTTTCGATTCGAACTATTTGGAAACAAAATGTCAAAACTGAAAATTTCATTTTTTTTTTCTGTAAAAATGTCTACAAAAAATTAAATTTTTGGTTTTCCTTTCTCCAAGTTCTAAGTTAAGGTTTCAATAATATATATATTTTTTTTCACTGTAGATGATACTGTGAGGAGTTATCCTGTCAACGCGGGCGCACCTTTTTTCCGAGGTGTCACAGGAAATGGCGTCGCAATGACCGAGTTTAAAATATTTTCCAAAACTTTCAGAATTTCTTTGTTAAGAGGTATGTTTGTAGTAATAAAAATTTCAAATAAAATATTTTATTTTTGATATCAGAAAAAAGGTGTTGAAAAATGTAGTTTTTTACCCGAGTGAACCTATGTGACCCCTTGGAAGAGACTAAATAGTTAAATCGAAAAGTTTTTTCCTTCGTTTCTGGCTTTAGTAAAATTGAATTTTTCCAGCACCACAAAATTTGGAACTGTCAGTAAAGTATAATAGTAAATAATAGCCGTGGTCAAATTGAATTTTTCAGAAACCTTCGCTATGAAGTATTGTCTCCCTGTCTAGAGCAGGGCACCACGAAAACAATGGATCAACAATGGTCCACTTGTTCCGCTTTGGCAAGACTGCGCTAGTAGCATCTGGCCTCCTCACAGTATGCTGCACTGGAGGAGGTATCGATTGTGAGGCCGCAGAGTCTGTTAAAACTCGCGTCAAGCGCAGGCATCCTAAAAGATGACTGACTACTCCTCTTGGACCTAACAACTGAACTCCATCTGGGCCTACCAGATTAATCTAACCTAACCTATGAAGATTGAAGCTGTATTTCCTTATACTTGTCGTTATTTAAGCGTATTACAAACCAATAAACGGGAGTCAAAAAGCCATCATAGCAAATTGCATGTTTTCTAAGCTAAACTATGTCAAGTTTTCGAACATTAGGGTATAGTGGGAAGCTATGAATCAAGATTATTGGAATGAAGTTCTATTGTAATGATTTAACTTTCATCGACTAAATTTACGCTATTTTACAAATTTGTTGGTTATGTGAGAATTGGCAACTAGTGGACATGTACGTATATAATTTGTAAGAATAAATGTCTCTTGGAAATAATTGTAACTTTTGTTGTTGTTTTTACTTACATCCTGGAAAACATGGAAACAAATTTGTATTACCATTGGTTTGACATGGTGTTTATCAATTAATTAGTATGCATTAGTGGCCCGATCAGAATTTACAATCGATTAGATATGTACCCGTTTTGCATGGCGTTGTAGTTGTTTACGTTTGTGCAGTCGGGATTTTCATTTAATTATATATATTTTTTTGCAATTCACGAATTTTACGATGCAAGGTGTAGTTGATGTAGTTTTCGATATTTTTTTTTTCATGTTTGTGTTGTTGTTTTTATTCATCCGTGTGCAAATTAGCATTCGTATATGTGAGAGTATTTATATATATGTTAGTTGTGTGTATATATTTATATATTATGGTACGTTTTGCATTCAGAAAAGGATGCAATATTTAATTTTGAATTTTTGGTTGCCACAAAACATCATACACATAACGTTTACAACGATTACAGTTGCGGTTGTATTAAGTAGGATGCATCATTGCAGCGATTGATATGAATTCGTTGCGTGTACATATATATTTTATATAGAAAGATGATGGGTATCATTGCGTTCCAAACATTTCGTGCATGTAGTGAGAACAGTTCAATTCAATTACAAAAGTTTCATTACGAATTGTTTTGGTTGGTTTTGAAATTGTGATAGATTCAGACAGTATGGTTGTTGTTGCCAAAAAAAAAAAGAAGAAACAAATAGAAAAGTTGTCATTAATATCTTTGAAATTTTTGTAAAAGTTGCAGTTTGATCTTTAAATTATATCTAAATTTTTTTTTTTTTTGTTAAATTAAACAAACAATTTGGTACGGTGGGACGCTTAAACAGTTAGACAAGTATTATATTGCTCTCAAATGGACGCTAGGGTTCAACAAGCAATGCTTCATCGCAACCAAGCAAATGAATAACACATACATATGCAGATACGAACTAGCAGGTGTGTGGGAATTTTAGCGATAAGTCGCATGATGAACGAACGATGTAATAATAATACCAAAGGGATATGAGAGACCCGATGCGATAAATCAAACTGAAATGCAACAATGCACATGTAAATTCATACAGATATACAGTACACGATATGTATGTTAACTACAATATGAGCGTTTGTTTACTTTTCCAATTAATAACTACTTATCCAAAGACATGACCAATAAACTAGTTATAAATTACATAAGTCATGTAGCAATATTATTATATAGTGTGTTAGTATCTTTACTAAATTTACTGAAAATATGTTTGAAATACGTCTCAATAGCATAAACGTAAAACCTTAGTTGCTGGCTTAACTAATAGTAATATATAAAAATCAATTGAACTCCTCAATATAAATATAAATTACACATCGT